TTTGAGTATGGTGAGAAAACGCCGATCGTTAGTAGAAGCTCCCGACAACGCATGAGCCAAATATTATGGCACAGCACATGGCCTGGAATTCGTAATAAATTATCACAGTCAGCTAAAAATTGCTTTCTCTTCTCCCGACAAATCGCAAAACAAGCCCAAAAATCACTCGTAGTAAGCCCATCTATCGGCCATTGGCTGATTTGAACATGGCGTGCTCGGTCGTTACAGAGATCGTCGCGGGAGGCCACTACTTCTCCGCGCGTGTGCCCGCGATCTCACTGAGAAACCCGTGCATTCGAAGAAAAAGTGCTCAAGGTCAGGAGGCGTGCCTGACATTTTTTGTTTGCCCCTCCCATCCCTCCCTGCTTAGCTTCCAGCGATTTCACTGGGACGAGAGAATGCTATTGCAGCGTGAGACAAATCTTTGTAACTCCGCTTGTACTGTACAGATTCTTGAAATTTTTTGTGGCATTGATTTTTTGAGGCAATACGCTTTTCCAGTGAATTAATTTCATGGTTACTCAAAAAAGTGTTTCAGGGCCCTTTGAACCCTTTCGGTCCTGGCGGTGTCAATTGACACCACCGCACATTTCCCCAAGTATCTCGGAAACGTAATCAATACTGCTCATTCTTGGGGTATAGTTCTTCAATGGTCCCCACTGCAATTGACATCAATATTGCGGCACGTTTGTGGAGGTAGCAGCCACAAAGAAGAAGCGCGACAGAGGTCTTTCGTGAAGCCGAGGCGAGTAAGTTGAGGCGGGTAAGCGCCATTTTTGGGACGGCGTATAGAAACTGTCTCAGTGAGTATTAGGCTGAAAAGTAAGACGTTGGTTTTCATTTTGTGTACACCATTGATTTCCAGGAAAAAATAAACCATTTTTTTTATTTTTCAATCACTGGGCCCTAATTACCTAGTTTGATACCACGTTAATTAATCCAAAAATGCTTGTACCAGTGGCTCAATTTTTTGTTTGTGGTCTTCTGAGGTCCTACTTACGAGAAAAACGCGCACAAAAAGTGTATCCGACCAAAATAAAAAATCCAGGGCTGAAAGGGTTAAGGTAACTGCATAAGAATACATTCCCTGCAATTGGACATTCTCAAATAATACACCAATGGCATTGGGCGAACTGCCTACCATTAATCACTAGTAATCGATCTAGCTGTATTAAATAAAGAACCTTCCGTGCATCAAGAGACGCATAAAATGCTGCTTGTTCGTTTCTGTTTGATTCATGGAAAAAAGAACCGCCGGACATTACTATGGGTAATGTCGTGAGGGGTTCAAAAATTCAATTTTCACGTGCTTATACTGGACAGGTTGGGCTATCTAGTGGGGCGCAGTTGAAGCAAAACACGTCTGCAATTTCGGAGTAATGGCAGGAAATTGATCAATGGCCACTGTTGCGGCTGTGGCTCCCGGTGCTTTCGATCTGTCTACTAGCGTCGGCAACCGCGCAGTAAAGCCGGGCAACGTTGTGCACGGAACAGTGACGTGAGTCGTTCTACTTCTTTAAGCAGGTAATTTGAAGTGCACTAACCTGATGCAGGCCACTAAAATGTGATTTTATTTTAAAATAAGCCCTTCCTTAGCACAAAAGTAACACTGCGAGGTTTATGGACCACAATTTCAGCAATAACGCCGACTTGATAGTAGGATTTGCTCCAGTGACGCTGACTGTGCCGAAGTGCGATGTGGACTTTCTGACAATGGGTACCCAATCAGTTTCATTTGTTTCGTAGAGCACCACACATGAACCGATGATGCACATAGCAGCGCTAAGCTCATGCAGCCATTCTCTATGTGCCAGGTGTCAGTGAAGCATTGTTACAGGTTCTATGGACGTTCGACATACACATTGCGCATGTTCCTGCCCAAAACTTCAGCACGAACTGGTGCAGGTGAAGGACCCACTCAAGAAAAAAAAGTTCCCAGGTATTGTTTATGAAACCCTGTGTGCAGACTGCGACTATGTTTATATAGAGGAGAGTATAGCAACTTTGAAATATGACTAAAGACATCTCATGAATGATGTCTGAAAGAAAACTGTGGTATCCAACGCACCTATTTATTTAGTAGTACAGTCGAGCCCATATAATGGCCCCACTTAAAACGAACTTTCGCTTAGAACGAACAATATCCGCGTGACCGTAAAAATATGCATTGGTTCAATGGCACAAATTCGCACTTGCAACGAACGTCTCCGAGCGCCGCTGATCGGTTACAGCGAATGGAGTCGGCGCTCTGCTGACTTCCCAGCAAACCAGCACTTTTCTACCACCGATCAGACATCGGCAAGGGGCTTATACGTTCTTATTGTTAAACGCTGACCCTGCCTCTGCGCCCCTCTAGTTGCCGCTCTCCCCGACCCCTTTTTGTTACCCACCCCTACGCCCTTTGCCCCCCCCCCCCCCCCCCCTGCTACTCTGAGCACCCGCATCGCCAGACGAGGCCCGTGTTTTCACACTGCCACCAATCTTTCGAAGACCGGTCCGCCAGCTACCCTGTTTTTGATCGCTGGTACTGTCGTTGGCGTCACCGGCCTGGAGTGATAAGACCATTTGCCAACATCGTCGGCCACCAACTGTATCCGATCGTGTGCATCTAGTGCAGTCGTGTACGCTACCCCACCAACTCTGATAATTTGCAGTTCGTGTTGTGTTTAGAACTTGTTCTCGCCCACTTCGCCCTCTGCTCAGCATGCCCTCCGCACGTGTTCAAAAGCACGAAAACGGCTGTTAATTTGCGTTGAACGAATCAGGAAATATCGAAGCTGGTGAGGCCACGCAAACCTGCCGGTGCAACAAAACGATTTTTTGACCACGGCTGCCGATTCTTTGAACACCACGGCGCACACCGATCCAGGTGAACGTGCTTTGATTTCTACGCACGCTGGCACTCTTTCATGTTTTTCTACGTGCGAGTTGCGCATTTTGCGGACCTTTCAAGCAAGCTACCCAACGTACCTCTTTCCCGTGTGTTTTCGTTTTCAAGGTCGCCCTTCCGCTGTGTCCTCCTCTCCCTTCACTCTATCGCAACTCCTTGTCCTTATCTCGCAAAACTGCTCTCTTCTCTAGATCGGAACTCCTTCGCCCATCTCCATTTCTCCGCGACACCAGCCACGCTGGCTCGAATTCAGAAGTTTCGTTTTCTGACTAAAAAACAGGCCCAGAGCTGTTCCACGCGTTCTGGTATGCCAGTCGCGTATGCACGTCTTGCTCGCTTTTGGTGTGTGTGTGTGTGTGTGTGTGTGTGTGTGTGTGTGTGTGTGTGTGTGCGCGCGTGCGTACATGCGTGCGTGCGTGTGTGGGGGGGGGGGGGCAGGATGGCGGACGGGAGGCCTTTCACGCTTTTTCCTGCCACTCAACAAAACGTCGAAAGTGTGACCGCTTGGCTTGAGCGTAATCCGTGCGTTAGGTGCCGCATTTCGGAGGACTTTCTCATAGCTGTTGACCACCTGGTAGCCAACTTGCTGCTTCGGGGGTCCCGATATTCAGCTGTGGAGATGGGGGAAATTTCGTGGGCGGCGATGACGGCTACATGTGCACTAAACTGTCCTCGCGAGGCCGACTTAGTCGACGTCAGGCCCGATGCCGAGCCTGAAGCTTCCGAACAGGATCACTCCGGCAGCGGTTTGTGGGAGCGCGTCGTCGACTCCGACCTGGAGAGCGGGTGGGACATCTGTTGCGATGGTTTAATTACGGCCGATGATGATGCCGACACTGCGGAACCATGCACGGATTAGGGCATTGTGAATGAAGTGCGTGGCGAGAGCGATTTGGAGGAACCGGATTGCGAGAGCGACAAAACTTTGAAGCCAGTGCCTCTTGCAGCTTATGCCACGGGCCTCGGCGAACGAGCACCCTGCTGTTTTAAATGAACTCGAGACCGCCCTTATCGCTTCTTCTCTTTGAAACACGTACATCAGAGACTTTTTTGGGCAAAAAAATTTGTGTTTTCACTCGAAATTTTTTCGAAAGTTGTGTTTCATTTACTAAGAACTTCGGGATACAGTGAACAAATGCCACTTCAGGCTCAGGTTCGTTATAAGCGGGCATTGCCATCCCTCGTGGAGGGTCATGACATGACTTGTGCAACACGTGGCTACATTTGATATGACATTAATTGGGCCAAAACAATGGTTATCGCAAAGGAAAGAACTGGTGTTTGGCATCCATGTCTGGAATCTGTTTTTATTCAGACTTAAGAAAAATAATGCTGAACAAAAATGATGGCAATATGCCACCAGCGTATGCCAGGTGTCTTGGCAGCGTTCTAAAATGGACGAAAGTCCACTTTGCTGGGCCTCTTCACTGTGAACAAGACTACAGTACAATAACTGAAACATGTGTAATATTTTAAAATTTCATTTTGGTTGGCGATATTTCATTTTGTTTGTATTTCATATCTACCTGATAGAGGTTTATCTACGGGGGCACATTTGACTTCTGTGCTATAATACTTGGCTCGGGTGTTCTCGGGAGCCACAACTACCTACCGATCGACAGCGTTTTCTGACCATGTCGAAAAATTTTTGCAGTATCGCTTTAAATGGGATGTACAGCACTGTAAAGAGTACTTTGCCAGCATGGCTTTAAATTGTGGCCGATGAATGTCCAGTTCGATACAGTCTGTTTTTTGCATAACTGAAATTAGTTTTTTTCATAGTGCTGTATTTTTGAACATTTCTGCAATGTTTCTTGCTTACAAGTGAATCTCAGTTCAACAAATTATCGATATGACAAAGTAAAAAATTGCTAACTTTAGAGAATTGGTGATATCGAGGTCTAACTCTACTTGAGCATAAATGTGTTTAATCTTCTAAAAGGCATTGCCAACTATAGTTCCCACAAACGAAAAATAGTGGCTTGAACTGTGTCATCAGATGTTGAAAATTATTGCGCCGTGCTAGCATAATTTACAGATGCAATGCCCAAACTTGGATCTCTCGGCATGGCACTTGAAGCTGGCTTTGTTGTTAATGATTGTGGTGCAGTTCCTGTCGAGCATTCAACAGCTGGCACTGCACCCCACATCTGAGGAGCAGACAGTGAACAAGGCGCCTGCACTACCTGTGGTGTCCGACCTGATCCGGCTGCTGGCACACGAGCGACTGGCCGAAGCACGACGTCCGGCTCCTGCCGATGTGATCCTCAAGGTGCCATCATACCGGCCTGCCGCACCCTCCACTGCGGCCTCGAGCAGCTCGTCAGAGGCCACTTCTGCGCCGCCGACTGAGGAAAAACGCACGCGTCCCAAGCGGGGCCGTTACCGCAACTACGACCGTGACCACCTGATCCAGGCGGTGCACGCCGTGCAGCGGGGAGAGATGAGCGTGCACCGTGCGGGCACCTACTTTGGTGTACCCCACTCGACGCTCGAATACAAGGTCAAGGAGCGCCATCTGCTCAGGCCCAAAAAGCGCCGCCAGCCTGATGGCCTGCTCGAGGCGCTCATCAAGTCTACACTGGACAAGTGACACCAGTGCCTGGCCGGAAAGCGTCCCTCATGATAAGCTAGTCTACTCTGTGATGACCATGGCGAGAGAGATAGTATTTTATATCAGACTGCTGTTGAGCCAACTGTGATGACGGCGCTTTCCGGATCTCGTGCCTCGGGGCCCAGGGCCCCTGCCAAGTGCCTGCCCGGTGTACTTAGAGAAAGACTATTTTTCCATGCAGAGTATTTTTCGCATAATTCAGGCTGGGCGGCCAGTGGACTTAACCGCACTGCCATATCGCGCCCATTCCACACTTAGTGCAAAGCCTATTTCAGTTGGTCCCGCTGACCCTACACAGCGGCGGTCACGTTTGTTGTTGCTTTTTATCATATGTTTACTGTTTTGTTAATTTGTCAGAGATGTTTGTTTCTTGATTTTTTTCTATTGAGGATATCTACATGCCATTGTATTTTGAGATCCCCCTAAGTGCAAGATATATGGCTGGTCTCTCATTGGCAGACACCACTGTACAAGAAAGGAGGGATCAACATTCCATCTCCTTGAGTGGCCAAGTCTGTATTCAGAAGATGATTAAACTAAGTGATTTTTTTTCTCTGTTCATTTTTACCTTTTGCAGCGTATAGAAAAAAAGCACAGAGCTGTGTTCTCACTCATGAACGGAGTTTTTTGCCAGTTCATGTGTTGGAACAAAGCTGTCAGCACTGTGCTACAACTGCTGTGTATCAAATTGGGGCATTACCAGGCACAGTTGAAGCACACAGCATAAAACCAAGACAAATTAATCTTTTGTTTAGTTATGTCCTTACAAATACCTTACAGGCCTTGGAGACGTATGGAGGTTAAATACAAAAGTAAAAAAAAAATTGGTAAATATCAAAATGCACCAAAATAAGAAAAATGCAAAGGTTGCATCAAGAACAACGGCAAGTACAGCAAATCTGTGCAAGTATGATGCTCCTTATGTCTGGTGGGATTATACATTATGAACTTGCGTGCTTGCAACATAAAAGGGAAATTCAACAGTGTATTAGACATCAGATTCAAGCTTGTCTATTGAATAGTTTTGATGAGGTGACCAGATGGATGACCCATACTCTAATTGGGGTTGGACAAACGCTTTGTAAGAATTTTTCCGCATGTGCAGAGTAGCAGTTTGTAGGCTGTAACGAAGAATCCTGAATGATCTGGTAATGGTCGGGATATGACCAACCCAGGAAAGATATTGTGGGAGATTAATGCCTATGTACTTATAAACTGCACGATTCTAGCCAGTGTGGGCTTATTGATGTTGTAAGGAAAGCGTGAACAAACTTGATTCACAAGCAAATTAGATTGTTTTACATTTTGAAATGTCAGGAGTTTTTAGCCATGTTTTATATTAACAGGTAATGCTATCTAGGTCACTTTGTTGGCATAGGTCATCTTCAACACTTTTTTAGCAGGCTAATAATGTAAAATAAAAATAGTAAAATACACTTGATCGATAAACAGTTCAGGATGTCATTATTGTAAATTGAGAATAGCAAAGGAAGCTACCTTGCGGCATCCCTGATGCAAACGAGGTGAGAAGCTTTTATTATCAAAGGTGAACTGCAGGGGTTAGAAACAATGTTACAGACCCATGAAAAGGTTAGCTAATCTAGGTTGAGCGCAAAAAGTTTAGATATTAGTCAGCAGTGTGCTACATGCTTCAGAAAAATCTTAAATGCTTCAGAAAAGTCTAGAAAGATGCAAAAGATGTAAAAAAAAGGAGCACTGACACAAAATTTTGAAGTCAAAATAATAAGTGATATAGATTTAGTGGAGACACACATGTACAAAATATTAAGCACAAATGTACCCTAGAACATATTTTAATTTAATTCTAAAGTGCACGGCGCACAACTGAGCGAGATGCAGAGCCCCTCACGACGTCGACATCAACATCACGGGAGTGTAAACAAACCTGTGTCAAGAGTTCGTGTTGGCTGCTTGCTTGGCACGCGCCTTGCTCTTGCACTAGCTGTAATTTGTTCCTTTGTACGTGCGGCTTTGCGTGTGCTGGCTGTCAGTGCGGCGTGCGCTCTCGCACTCTTCTTTTATGTCACAAATTTGCATGCTCACATGGGCAGCTGTGTTTACCTCCCTGCCGGAACTGCTCCTGTCTAGCTCGGTGCTCTTTGAAATCGTAACTGCGGCTGGGCTCTCTAAAAACGTTTCCAAATAAATAACCCTTGTGTTCTCGGGCAAACGAGGTCCCCAACCGTAATAAGTGGGTCATAAACTCCCTGTTGCAACAACACGAAAAAAAAAAAAAAAACAATGTGGAAAAATTTTGTGTCAGTGCTGCAGCACATGGGCCTACCCGAAAACCCGGGCCCGGCCAACACCACTTATACTTTTGACAACGCACCTCCAGGGAGAGCGTGACGTCATGCTAGTAGCCCACTTGCACCCTGGCCGGCGTGTCCTCAAGTTCTCGTTATATCTGCTGCGATAGGCACTTATTAAAAGCCAGCATGTTTTTTTTGTTTTGTCCTGTGTGGTCTGCATCTTAGACCTGAATAAGCGAATGTGTGTATAATACTGATAATGCAGTTTTCTGTAGTTTCAAGTTAGGTTCTAAAATACTTAAGTCTGCATTTACACTTTACAGGCATCAAATTGTAAGAGAGTCAGAAATGCACTTGTAGAAATGGTTTTATTAGGACGAAAGGCTAAAGCCATTCCACCTCATTTTTTGCTCAAGGTTTCAACATTTCTGTCAGCAGCCTCTTTTGTGCAGTGCTTTGGATAATGTCATTTGGAGTCTACAAAAGTTGTTCAAAGTGTAATGAAGAAGATCAGCACTGTTCTCAAAGGTAGAGGGGAGCACTGTCGGGCGCAAAGACCACTATGATCGTTGTTGGTGCATCAGGACGCTTGTACCTCTGTTGCCCCCCCCCCCCCCCCCCCGACCTTCTGCGACGAACCATACGGTTTATTAAAGATGTGCTGCGCCGAAACGCCTTATTTTAAAAGCAACGTTTTTTGCTACATGCACTAAATGCCACATGATAGTCTCAGACGTATGGCCATTTTCGCGAGTCTCAAACTTAACATCTCCAAGCAGTGAGATGGTAATGATGCTGACAATGCCACATTGGTTGTTCGGCGCAGAGAATTCCTTTACATTTTCTCCCTTGGTGAGTTTTTCGACAACAAGCACTGTCACCAGCACCATGTGCACAGTACATGGCTGGGGAAACTTCAAGTTTCCTCTTGACAAGTTGTCAATCATTGCGTTTGCTTCCATATCTAGGTTCCTGTTCTCGTGAACAAAGAGAAGTGTATACTTAAGGGCTCGTTTTTCCGTGTTTTGACACATAAATAATGAGATCCAACAGACAATAATGCCAACGAATGTATGGGGGAAGTTATTAAACCCAATGGTAATGTAAAGAAAAAAGAGTGGGTGAAAAGATAACTTGCCGTAAGCAGGAACCGAATCTGCGACCTTCGAATAACACATCGTTTGATGCTCTACTACTGAGCTACCACGGCGGCTATCCCCCCCAGCCACTTTATTGGGTTTATATGCGAATTTAAACGTGGGAGTGTCAGTCAGCGCCACCTGTAGCCATGGCGGCGAGTGTGGCACACTCTTTATGAGCCTGTTTTGGTGTCAATTAGCACGGGAACTTATTACGAGCTGGCAGCTGACCTCGTATAAAACCTAACGGAACCAAGTCTGCCAGTACGAGACCCTCGTACCACTCTACCACTGAGCTACTACTGATGCTCTACCACTGAGCTACCACAGCGGCCATTCCCCCAGCCACTTTATTGGGTTTATATGTGCATTTAAACGTGGGAGTGTCAGTCAGCGCCCTCAGTAGCCATGGCAGCAAGTGTTTTTTTTTAACTTGGGCGAATTGAAGGCTTTCAAATCAGTGGAGGCGCACAACTATATTTCACCAGCGGCTGAAAAAAACAAAAAAAAAAAAAAGGCTGTCTGCTAAAGAGCTTTGCGACCGTAGAGTGATAGTCGTTGCAGAAGTAAGTTCAATGGTTAATTACATCTATACATACACCAGCCCCGAGTTATCAAATAGTGATGAATGAGCACTGCCCAATCAACAAATTCTGATATTTGCGCTCAGTTCTCACGCAAGCACAGCGAAGTGCTCACGCAGCGGCGCGTTTTTTGATTGCGCCTCTCCGTTTGCGTGTTGTTATTTCATTTGTCATAAACATAGCCGCATGTACTTGTGCGTGGAAAATTTTTGTCACTGCATGTGGCTGCCATCTAGAGGGAGCCGCATGTGGATTCATCTAGACGAACGCATGCCTTGATCTTGTTCAGCAGCAGACATGCGCGATGAAATTTCAAAGTGGTATAGAGGGATGAAGGAAGAAAGTGCAATGTACTCATTCGCGTAGGTCACGGAGGATTTCCTCGGGGCAGAAGGATACGTAATGCAGCAGTGTTTTCGCTAAGAGGTGAGCGGGCATCGGCGGCAGCACACGTCTGCAACGCCTGCTTAGCTGCTGCGTCCACGATCGCCGCGCCGGCATGTCGTCGCCGCCGTTCGAACTTTGCTTGCCACTTACCGTGATGCCACCTGACATGTCGCCTTAGAAGACGACATTAACGAAGTGCGCGCGGGGCACTGGCGCTGTGGCACGAGCGCGAGCCTGGCGTCGAACGCTGGCCAGGAGTGACTCCAACGCCTGGGCTACGCTTTTGAACTTGTTCACGTTTCCTGTCCTTTAATAAATCGTCTACAGTCACAAGCGGCTGTACAGACGTAACAGTTGGCGACGAGGAAGACTGGATCGACTCATCGGCACTCCACCGACGTCTTCAGCACCCTGGATTTAGCACAAGCGTACCAGCAACTTCACGTGACGCCAGAGACAGCAGAGATTGCCTTTCGGAATTTCTGCAGCCCCAGCCATTTTTCAACGTTTTATGGAGACAATGCTGTCAGGCATCACAGGCGTGTGCGCATACCTAGATGACGTGATCATCAGTGGGAAAGACGCCACGGAACACGCCGAGAGACTGGAAGAAGTGCTGAAGAGGCTACGAAACTACAATCTGCGCCTCGGAAAAAACAAGTGCTGCTTTGCGGTGCGACAAGTTTTCTTTCTGGGACACCGAATCGACGAGACAGGCGTCCACACAAACGAAGAGAAAGTTCGAGCCATAACGGACGCTCCAGCACCAAACTGCAAACAAGCGCTTCAATCATTTCTCGGAATGCTGGCTTTCTACGACAGATTCTTGAAGAACAGGGCAACAGTTGCCAGCTGCCTATACCAGCTTCTTCAGAAGGACGCCACGTGGAGATGGGAGACAAAGCATCAAGAAGCCTTTGACAAGCTTAAGGCATTGCTGCTCAGTCAGACCGTACTGGCACACTACGACGAACAGAAGGAGCTTCTTGTCTCTTGTGATGCTTCACCATATGGCATAGGAGCTGTTCTGTCTCAACGTGATGACCAGAATAGAGAGGCGCCAATCGCTTTTGCATCTCGGACGCTAGGGCCGGCAGAACGCAAATATGCTCAATTGGACAGAGAAGGCCTTGCTGTGGTGTTTGCAGCCCACAAGTTCCACAAGTATATTGCGGGAA